CTTCTGAGACACTTAGGGAAAACTAAACACATATTAGGCATTAGATAATATTAAGAAAATATTATTAACTGTAGGAATGTGGTAATGAGATTATTCTATTTTTCAAAAGCCTTATATGTTAGAGATACATATTAATATGTTTATAGATGAAATGTTATGTCAGATATCTGCTTTAAAATATTCCAGATTTATTTAATTTATTTGTGAAATAAATAAGCTTCTCTGTTTAAAAGTAAGTGAGAAAACTAAAGCATACCTTGAATCACAGTAAATTTCTAATGGAGTTTCAATGAATACAAATTATATTCTTAGGACAGGTTTTTCCAAAAGTAGCAGCTGAGTAAAAAGCATATTTGAGAGTAATTTATTTGGGAATGTGATCCCAGGGAACAGCAATTGAGAGTCAAAGAGAGTAAAAATGGGGAAGAAGAGAAAGCCAATAGAGGAATGCTCACTGAGCTGGCTACCACTTTTGGATGGCGGGGATCTCAGTCCTATAAAGAACATCTGAAAGCCTCAGGAAGTGCACCTCAGAACCATCCACAAGGGAAAGAAAAGAGAAAGGATTTATCAATCATCTCCCTTCTCCATTGGTCAAGGGCTAGGCCACAGGGCATTAACACCTCTGTACTTCTTAGTGACAGGAGCATGAATGCAGAGAGAGTTCGGTCATATCTAATGACTGGGCATAATAGAAGCCCTCCAGCAGGAAGAAGAGTTCGGTCATATCTAATGACTGGGCATAATAGAAGCCCTCCAGCAGGAAGAAAGAGGTGCCCAGGGTTGGCCTGAGGCAATGTACTCACAGATTTCCCCTGAATGAATCTGGTTGAGGACTTCATGGGAGCTAGGCTCCACAGCTAAAATCAGAATAAGAGGATTAGGAGAGGCAGGCAAGAGCCCATTCCCTGTGTCTCCTTTTCCCTTCAAGTAAGTCCAGTGAGTTACAAAATCCCCTTCAATATGGTGGCAAGCTGGAATCTGTAAAGATCAAATGTAAGAAAGTTAGTGAAACAAACGGAAGTCCCCCCAAATGCTGCATCTGATTCCAAGGCCATAGTAGATATGATTTATCTCCTTTCTCCACTGCCAATTTTATAATTCTCTTACCCTAGGCCTGCTGGCCTGTGTTGTTTGCCTGCTGCGGTGACCCAGACTTTCATCTCCAAAGAATCTGCGCCCTTGATTTCTCTGTGCTTATCAGGCTGTGGTCGTGGCAATTTTCCATCCCTAATTGTCACCAGGCATGATGGCACCAAGAGACCTAGTGAGCAATCCCCAGACTCTCTGTATATCTCCCTGCCTTCATTTTGTAGCAGGAAACCTAGTTCCTCCTGATAAAAATCAATAGTATTAGCAGGAAACCTAGTTCCTCGTGATAAACATCAGTAGTAATTACCACAGTGGTGTAGGAAACAGAACGCCACAACGACCACTGGTGCGTGTTCGCTCAGACTCCGAGATCTCTGAGAAAACTCGAGATTGCAGGGTTAAAAATAACCCGAAAGGATCAGAGTGAAATGCCCTTGGAACGTGTGTGGTCAGTTCTAAAGCACGCAGCGGAAGATGTTTTGTAGATAGGAAGCCAGGTGTAAACAGCACACTGTGCCCTCCCCTCTTTGTTCCCTTGCCCTGTAAATTCTGTTTTAAAGATTCTTACGTGCTTGACTAATCCCGGGTACATGGAGGAATGTGCCTTACTCCGCCCCTGCTGTAAGTCATTATAGATCTATATCGCTGTAGCAGGTATATAAGAGTATGGAACATAAACCTCGGCACCTCGGGCTGTTTGCTCGGGGTCCCCTGTGCCTCGCTGTACTGTTGTCTCTTTTTCTCAGTTCCTTCGCCGCTCCAGGTCCCCGACTCTCAGAGGTCGACACGCCGGTACAAAGTGCCTTTCTTTGCCTATCATTAGATTTCAGGACTCTTAAGTGCTCAAACGTAACAACGAACAGATTACCAATAAGATACTTAGAATATAACATTAAATACGGTAACAGAATACTGATCAAAGTCACAAACAGTCTAATTACCATTAGCAGGTGACATGTTTTACTGTTGTAAACTTGACCCCAAATCATCAATCACCTTAAAATACAAAAAACAAAACAGAAACAGATGGGTGAAGGTGTCTCAAAATACAAGATTAGGTTATACAAAATTTTCTTCCCATGAACCATCTCAGAAAACTCTAATTCCTGTCTTTCTTTCTTTCTCTTTAAAATAGTTTATACTTTCTCTCATTCAATAAGAATTTGAAGGGGATGCATTGGATTAATAATTTTTAGCAAGTGTGGACAGAAGTCTGAGAGATTTTATTTAACAGAAAAGTAGTTTTATCTACGTCGTTGGCTATGCCTATTCTAGATGCATTTGCTTATTCAATAATAACACAAATTCCTTCATTTATCATGTGCATCTGTTGTGATAGGTTCTTATATTAATTGGCCGCAAGCCCCACAATAATGCTGCAAGGTAGGAAACTGAGGCGTTATAGGAAATAATTTAGCAAAAATCAAATACCTAAACCAGAATTCCAATTCAAAACCTGTTGCTTTAGGTTGTTTACTAATCTGGAATAGTAAAAGGAATCATTCAATTTACAGTTGTAAATATTGTGGGAAAACTGTTTAGATTTGGAATCTTTGGATTGTCATTTTGTGATTCCAAATTAAGAACAGAGGTGTAATGAGGAACAGAGAGGTAATTCACAGCCTGTTGCTTTCAACTGGCTGCTGTTGTATTATTTCATCATAGGCAAAAGCAGAAGTCCATATATATTTGTCGTGGGTTGTAAATCAAGGTGCCTCTACCACATCTCTAGGAGTGTCTAGATATCTACCACAGTCAAGGAGTTGTTATTTGACTTAAATTCAAACAGTCACATTTTCTCTCCTGAAATTGTGATATATGAGTGAAGTGACACAACATGGAAAAACAGATGGAATATACTTATTCCTGGGGCAACATTCTTACAACACAATCAAGCAGCTCAGACAGCTCAGCCTTTGGATTATGTCATTTCCCTGGGCAGCTCTTTAGTCTTCCTCTAGATTTTGTAAGGATATCATGATCTCCTTCCAATAAACTTTTCTTCTTCTTCCTTTGTAGAGTCAGTTCCTGTTCACTAGCAATCAAAGAACCCTAAATTATATACAATTACAACAAAGAGTGACCATTTCTTTCTCCAAATACCTGTTGTATTGTCAGTCCACACCACACAATTCAGCATCACTGTTCTCTAATTCCGCTTCAGTATAAACTACTTGGGCACTTCTATTATTATTCTATATGACATAGCACAGGGCTGTGTACTAAATTGATGGAGAGATGTAAAAACAATAGTAATGGATGCAATGGATACAATGGTAAAGGGTGAGGTGTTGGGAAAGTCAAGGATAGGAAATGAACATAAAGCTCAGGGAGTGCCAAAGCAGTTCTTAAATCCTGCTTCAACCTACTCATGACTATTGCAAAAGCACCGTCCTCCATGGGACATCAATTCAGACTTACAATAAGTACACAAAAAAACAATCATCTTGGGCAGGTCAGCTTGTGTTTACTCAAAACTGTTCTGTCCCATGAGTGGAAGAGCTGGAATCATTGGGTGCCCATAGAATAATGAGTCGTGAACACATTTTCTTGCACACATATATAAAAAGTTACATAGAATGGTATTCTCATCTTTCACCAGCGGTAATGATTGTTGAAAATATTAAGGAAATAGCCAGAATGAAAATATAATCTCTTATTATATACTGTAAATGTAGTATTTTGAAGAGTATAAAAAATGTAGTAGAATGGCTTATTTCCCTCAGCTTACAGAATATAAACAATTTATTTCAGAAAAAAACCTCAGTAAGAAAGGGTGATTACTTTTAGTATATTGAATTGTTGAAGGAGTGTTTATTCTATGGCTGAAGTCATTACGAGATATGAATTCAGAGCCTTTGTTGATTGTTCACAAGGCATGGCTGTTCTTAACCTGAATACTGAGAAAACAAAAAAGGAAGAAAAACCCTTTAGGAAAAATGTTTAGATTTTTAGAAAATTGTTATTCTTTTGGTTGAATAGTGTAATGTCCACTCTTTCCTGTTTGCTTTTATCCATATAAATGCATGCCTCTTAGCAATTACCAAGGGTGACTCCATTTCAGAATAGTCTTATTTATTTTAAGATGAATTAAACATTACCTCACTATTCCTACCACGCTTTCCTTCATTCCCATAATTTTCTTTGAAACTTATCTTAAAGTCATGCTATTATGGTAAAATACATAAAGGATAACTAAATTAAACATGTCTTTGAAATTTTTGCATAAAGAACACTTTCTGAAACGAACAATTGTCTGTGAAGTCAATTTTGAAGGGCATTCATAAGCTAACTCTACCTCCTACAAAACTGCATAAAAAATCACTTGAAAGGTTAATCCAGGGAGGTGTAAAGAAATACAAAAAGTGAAAGCAAAGATTCAAGAAACAAGGCCAGCAAAGTCTTACCCAGGAAAAGTTTTTTTTAAAAAAAATCTAGAGAGAAATTAAGAATATCATAAGATGTTTGGAAGATTCCCCTTAAAGTAGGAAAATTTAATGATACAAGATTACATATACTTCTTTAAGCATTCAACCACATTATTTGATTCAATAGAAAATATAATTTATATAGTAATATTGTATTTGCTGTTTACCAGCTTTTGGAAAGAATCTGCAAAGAATAAGAAACATAATTTTGGGGACTGTCATAAACCTTGATTATCGATATAATAACACGACAGCATGACTAAAACCAGAAGGTAAATGGGGAAAAGAGAAATTTGCAGGTAGGGTAGTCATGCTTCTGAGTAGGCAATCAATAGATACTGTCTAATGTTGGTAAATCTAAAAATGGCAACCCAGAGTGAATTGACTCTGAAACAAATAAAGCTTAAGCTTTGGGAATCTTAACTTGCAAGGACTAGGAACATTAACAATTTTGTAACTGTGTGTTTCTTTTTCTTAAAGGTGTATCCTCCTTACTGTATAAATTTGAGGCCCCATGTAACCTGGATCCACACGGAGACCACTCCCAGGGCTTTGGCAGAGACCTATGCACCTGGAGGACCCTGTCGCTAAAGTTCCTCTAGCTGCAAGGTAAATACAAGTTTGATGATAACCACCCAAATAACTAAAAGCAGAAATCATTGACCCTCCTTACTCCTTGGGGATGGTCATGGTAGAACTGGGAGAGGTAGGGAAGAAGGGAAGAGGGCCAATTCTATTTTTCATTTTATAGCCACTAGTGTGGTTTTATCTATTTATTAACCTATAGATGTATTGTTTTTAAATAGCAACAATTGATTTACAGTTTATTAGTCAACATGCACTTTCCTCCTTGGTGTATACTAAAGCTATAGACTGAAGGTGAAAGATAGGGCTGCAATGTATATGTGATTATTTAATACAGTTTTTCCATGTCTGTGCTAACTATCCTTATCTTCTCCTTACATACATATTTATTCTGGGTTCAGTGCCACCGTCTAAGTTAATAGAAATTCCATATATGAAAGCAGCAGTGTGTGAGATAACAGGAAATAAAAACATCTGGCATTATATTCTTGTCCTTAGAAAGAGCAGTCCCAGAGAGCATCAGTGATGGCCTTTTCTTATCAAATAGATAGTATTACCGATAGAACACTTAAAAATATAGGAACACTTTCTTCTTATAAAGAGTTTTCTCATGAATGGAATCTTATTCTTTCCTGAGACGCTTTTAAAAAAGAAAAGAAATTCATGGTTCTCATCATAAAATTTCTGCAGTTTTCTAATAACAGGATTCTGCTCTTGTAAATAGTCATATTGTTTAAGGCAGATCTACTTTGAGCCTGCAGGAGAGTAAGAAAACAACTGATTTATGGAGATATTTCAAAGTCTAATGAACTACCTTGCCAAGATGAAGTGTTGCGTTTTGCAGATAATTAGACTGTTCTTTACCTGCCATTGAAGGAATGTCACTGTAAGCAGACACAAACTCCATGGCAACGTGTAGATCAGCACTTTCTCTGTCAATACCTGGGAAATGTCATTTCTCTGAAATTCTGCTAAGGAATTTCTTCTCAGGAACAGATTAGACAACTAGTGACCAAGGAAATGTGTAAACATGTTTAAACTGAAAAGCATTATTGGGTCAGCCAACTACTTAAGAAAGAACAGCCTTGGCAAATGACAGAGAATGAGAGAGGAAGACGTGCAGATTTCCTCCCGGCCTTGAGATGAGAGCAGCTTGGCTGGAGGACCCCAGCTGGGAAGTGGGGAAGCCTGACTGCTCTCCTTTCACCCATGTCCTGGACAGCTCTGCAAAGGATGGCGGAGTATCAAAACAGGACCTAATTCAATTACCTGCCTTTTGTTTACTTCCAGTCGAATGGTTAATATCAGCAAAAGCATTTTTATTACTTTATGGATATGAATGTAAATTTGGTATAAAAGACTGGCAGTTGACAAACCTGTTTACCTGGGAGTTTAGGGATGATTAATCCTTGGTGCATGTGTGCATGCATATGTGTTTTAAATATTCTATTCTCAAGTTTTTCTAAGAAAGCCTACATTGACATTTTTAATACCAACTGTGAAGGATCGTGAAAAATTAGGCCATTTTAAATGAAAATAAATTCAGAAATGGGAGAATTACATACGAGATGGTTAAACTGCATAATGAATAATAAATTAAAGGGAGCTTATTGGTTAAAAGAAGTTGGAAGACTGAAGAATCTCCAAGGTCCACTCAAGTCTATGTTTCCTTGAGCAACAAAACAAGAAAAGATTGAGGAAATTCAGAGGCAAAAAAAAACCAGAGTTCAACTTAAAAAAAAATTCTAAAGTGCTCTTCAAAATATTTCACTATAATGACATAGAAGGCTATGGTGTGCTTGATAGGTAAATGGTGAAAATGGTGATCTGTTTGTAAGGAAGCAAAAAATACATGCCTTAGGGAAGTTATGGAACCGAAGAGAAAAATGTAAGAATACCTCGGCAAAAATACACATGGGTGGAACATCATTAGAAGAATTATGTTAGAAGCAGGCATTTAAAAACCCCAGAGAAATGGATGATAGGAGAATTCACAGTAAAAATAATTAGGGGCTTCTGGGTGGCTCAGTGGGTTTAGTTAAGCATCTGCCTTCAGCTCAGGTCATGATCCCAGGGTCCTGGGATCGAGTCCCGCATTGGACTCCCTGCTCAGCGGGGAGCCTGCTTCTCCTTCTCCCTTTACCTCTCTCCCTGTTCGGGCTCTCCCTCTCTCTCTCTCAAATGAATAAGATTTTAAGATTTTATATCTTTAAAAGTAAACAAATAAATAAAATAAAAATGATTTTGAACTAGAAAAAGGAATAATTTTATGCAACGACGTGGATGGAACTGGAGGGTGTTATGCTGAGTGAAATAAGTCAATCAGGGAAAGACTTGTATCATATGACCTCACTGATATGAGGAATTCTTAATCTCAGGAAACAAACTGAGGGTTGCTGGAGTGGTGGGGGGTGGGAGGGATGGGGTGGCTGGGTGATAGACATTGGGGAGGGTATGTGCTATGGTGAGCGCTGTGAATTGTGCAAGACTGTTGAATCACAGACCTGTACCTCTGAAACAAATAATACATTATATGTTAAAAAAGAAGAAAAAGAAGATAGCAGGAAGGGAAAAATGAAGAGGGGGAAATCGGAGGGGGAGATGAACCAGGAGAGACTATGGAGTCTGAAAAACAAACTGAGGGTTCTAGAGGGGAGGGGGGTGGGGGGATGGGTTAGCCTGGTGTTGGGTATTAAAGAGGGCACGTTCTGCGTGGAGCACTGGGTGTTATACACAAACAATGAATCATGGAACACTACATCAAAAACTGATGATGTAAGGTATGGTGATTAACATAACAATAAAAAAATTTTTAAAAATGAATAATTTTAATTGCTATACATTCACAAAGTGCTAACAAGAGCAGAATGCCCTGCAAGAATATTAAAGAGTAAACGAATGATTTGATATCATATTCTAGAGTTCAAAAGATCAAGGGAAGAGAAGAAAACATCAAGGAGGATCAAAAAATTTACTAAAAGTTTATCAGTGGAAGACATTCATTCTAGAAGATTTCATAGATCCGTCCCTTCTATTTCTCTAAAATCATCTTATTCTCCATTAATCTCCCCCCACCACCACCCTCCGCTGTGTTCTGGTCTCATGATCTGCTTTTACTTGTTTGAACATGACAAACTCTGCACAACCTCATGTCCCCTGATGATGCTGTTTCCTGTGCCATGAATGGTCTTCCTCCTACTGTGCTTGCCTAGCTTTTTTTCATTTTTAGTTTAGCTTAAAATATTATCCTGGCCATTTATATTTCTTATTAAAGAAAACACAAAGCATCCCAATGCTACTCCATGGTTACTGACTGACATTATTTTTTATATATAACATACATATATATATATGTGTGTGTATATATATATATATATATATACATATATATTGTTTTCTGCAGAACACATACCAAAATTTGCAATTATTTTATTTTTTAAGACTAGAAATTAATTTCAAAGCTAGCAGTTAAGCTCAATAAGGGAAGGGACTGTATCTCTCCTTGTCACTGCTGTGAGCCCACGACCTGGTAGGGTAATTGGCGTATGAGAGGCACAAGATAAACAATGGTTATTAATGATTTGATCAATTGATGGATTAATAAACAAAACATGTAAGTAATATGATGTAAAATATAGTGGAATATGGAGACAAACATCTGTTCTAAGGTTACCTTTTACAAACATAGCATGTTTTCCCAACTCTTTGTGAAATTCTGGCTTAATTTAGACCATAAACCCACTGTGTAGCTGCCAGAGATTATGGAGAACAAGTATCTGGCCTTTTAGAGGCCTCCACCAAGACTGGCAGACTAGCAAATATTCCAAACGTCAGAGGGGGAGTCAGATACTAAGCAGACAAAGGCCTCCAGAGGTATGCTCACAGAGCCAAGGGTCTTCATACTGGGATTAATTGTGTACAAGGTCTAGGGAAGAACTCTAGTTAAGGAAAACAAGTGAATTTGTTCACCAGTGATTATTGAGCTCCTGAGTACCTATTGAGAAACTACTTTGTGCCAAGGTTGCTGCCAAGTCCATAGAAGACAAAGAAGAATAAAAAGCAATCTCCACTTTCATGCAACTCAGAGTCTAATAGAAGAAACACACACATATACATATATAGTTCTCTGCAACCTTGAGAATGACATTCTTGAAAATTCTCTGACAAGATAATTTGTAGGATAAAAATGTAAGCATTTAAGAGACAATAGGAATGTGGGACAAAGTTCATAATGAAAACAAGAAAGTCTTATTAAATGTGAGATTTTTATACCCTTAAGAGCAGTCTCTCTGGGGCACCTGGATGGCTCAGTTGGTTAAGTGTTCTCCTGGGGTCATGATCCCAGGGTCCTGAGATCCAGCCCTGTGTTGGGCTCCCTGCTCATCAGGAAGTCTGCTTCTCCCTCTCCCTATGCCCCCCACGCCACTTGTGTTCCTGCACTTGTATGCTCTCTCTCTCTCTCTCAAATAAATAAATAAATAATCTTTAAAAAAGAAAAAAAAAGAACACTCAGTATAAAAAAGATCATCCAAGGATTTCCTTTGACATTAAAATCTGAAATAATTTATCAAGGGTCTTCTTTAAAGTTTTAAGTTGAACATATAAACCTATTCTAATTTGAAGTTCAGTAAATCTTAGGGGCCCTTGGTTGGTGCAGTTGGTTGAACGTCAGATTCTTGGTTTTGCTCAGGTTGTGATCTCAGGGTCATGAGATCAAGCTCCTCATAGGGCTCAGAGCTCAGTGCAGTCTGCTTGAGAGTCTCTCCTTCTACCTCTGCCCCTCCCTCCCCAGCTCTCTCTCTAAAATAAATAAATAAGTCTTAAAAAATAAAGTTCAGTAAATTTTAGCAGTTTCTGAAATATGTTTGCTAGGTCCCATGTAATATTTTTAAATATTTTAAACTGTATTTGTAAATATAAAATATTCCATTTCCTTCTTAAGATCTTTGATTATAGGACTTAAATTTTTTCCGATATAAAATTAGTTCTTATAAAGATATTAAATTAATCTTCTTAATAATGTGATTCTTAAGTTCTCTTAAATATTTCAATATATACACTTAATAAGGGTTTAATTTAAAACCAAAATTCTAAATCAATCACTAAATGATTAAATTAGAACTAAGTGCTTGATATATGTTGCTCTAAAACACCATTTTTTAAAATACAAGGACATTTCAAATATACTCAGATTTCATAACATAGAAATGTTAATATGATGAATTCTGATTCTCTTCAACATTGCTGTACACTTGACTCTTGAACAATGCAGGGCTCAGGAGCGCCAACCTCACATGCAGTTGAAAATCCAAGTAAAACTAACATTGACTCCCCCAAAACCATACTAATAGCAAGAACAGGGAGAGAATACTTTTTCCTGTGATAGTCCATTTACCACTCACGTGGAGACGATTAGCATCACGGGGCATTTTAAGTGAACGCTCACAAAGCTTGAGCTCACTGAAATAGCAACAAGAGGTGGTTGGGAAAATACTACAGCAGTACAGGTGTACTATGATTAATTTTATGCAGTTATGATTTAATACTGCATCTTTATTTTTGTTTACATTTCTCTTGACTGCCAATGGCATCGCGCATGATCTGTGTGTGCATAAGTTTTGATCAATTTTAACTTTTTATAATAGATTCGTGTATATTGTATGATAGTGAATGATAAAATAGGCTGGTATCTACATATAGTTTATATATTCTTGACATACCTAATTTTTCTCAAAATTTTTTGCTATTTTTTTAAGATTTATTTATTTTGAGAGAGAGAGAGAGAGTGAGCGAGAGAGAAAGCACAAGCCAGGGGGAGAGGCAGAGGGAGAAGCAGACTCCCTGCTGAGCAGGGAGCCAGACTCAGGGGCTTGAATCCTAGGACCCTGGGATCATGAGCTGAGCTGAAGGCAGACACTTAACTGACTGAGCCACCCAGGCACCCCTCAAAATTTTTTGGTATTTCTAAGCTATGCAGTTCATCTGAGAGTTATTTTTAATTGACATAAGCCTCCAAAAAATTTTCCAGGACGCCAGGTCCTGGGATCAAACCCCACAGTCAGGGGCGCCTGGGTGGCTCAGTTGGTTGAGCGACTGCCTTCAGCTCAGGTCATGATCCTGGAGTCCCGGGATCGAGTCCCACATCGGGCTCCCTGCTCAGCGGGGAGTCTGCTTCTCCCTCTGACCCTCTTCCCTCTCGTGCTCTCTATCTCTCGTTCTCTCTCTCTCAAATAAATAAATAAAATCTTTAAAAAAAAAAAAAAAACCCACAGTCAGACTCCCTGTTCAGCAGAGAGTCTGCTTCTCCCTCTCCCTCTGCCTTTCCCCCTGCTTGTGCTCTCTCTGTTTCTCTCTCTCTCAAATGAATAAATAAAATCTTAAAAAAAAAACACGTAAAAGTAGACCCACGCAGTTCAAACCTGTGTTGTCCAAGGGTCAACTGTACTTAGTTCTAAATCTTTTAATAGTTGAGTGATGCTTACATGGAGATATATTATTGTCATCCTAACCAAATTTCAGCATAACTATCATTGCTTGGTTTCATGACCAGAGTTTCTGGCTTTTGATGCTGACTGGCTTCTTGTTAGCGACTGATGGAACAGGTTTAGCATTGCTTCTATTCCTACATCAGTGCAATTTACAGCTTATGTAAATCACATCACCAGGTTCAATTTATGAGTATCTGATCCTTACGCCTACTCACAGAAATCTCATAAGCCCTATCCTGCATATATCACATGATTCATAGTTTGTGCACTTAAAATATGTACATGTCTTTTCTGGCTACTTTTGATCCAGAAGAAATCCTACATTTAAAATTTATAATTCCTCGTGCTCGCTTCAGCAGCACGTATAATAAAATTTGTAATTCCTATTTCTTAGGACACCTAACTCTTATGGATATTACAGTAACAAGCAATTCCATTTTTAATGTTTTAATGGCTTAGTATTACTATTCAGGTACCACTTCTGAGTCAGTCAAGATTTTACTTGCACTGCTTGAAACCAAAATATTAAAATTAAAAAAAATCCACAGATCAATGGTTTT